ACATTTTTAGATAAAATTGTGACAGCACTACAGTGCACAATTCAAATAAATTAGATGCTTTAGTTTGTTTAATCACAATTAGGAGCATCACCCTAGCATAAGGCAATGTGATCACATGACCAAGCTGTATGACAGCTCCCAGTGCTACTGGTTTTTCCAACATGGATGGCCTGTATGGAGCCAACTGTTCCACTGTCTTGGATCTTTAGTGTGCACCAGAGAAGAGGCTCCATAAATAGCCAGCTTTGGACTTAGAAACATAAAAATACAAAAGAGGAGCTATATGACTTTCCAAGCTCCACACTAACATGCACAGTGTGCTCCCAAAACCACACCCCAGTGACTTCACCCAGCCATAAAGTGCTGCTTGGCAGCTTTTAATCATATCAATGAATCTCCAACGTGTAAACCACAAAGAGATTTAAGTGAAGTGAGAGAAACAGATAATCAGCACAGTTGTTTTCCGATTCACTTGCCAATATCACTGCTTTGGGACATATGGATTTTAGATTAAACTTAATCTCAGATTTAGGGTGAGTTGCAGGACGAGTGAAAAGATTCATAAAGACAAGATATTCAGAGTGAGAGATGTTTTGCTTTCTCTAGTGGCTGGTATTACATTCTCCAAGGAAATTCCACATCTTCCCAGTGCCTGAGCAACCATGAACAGCATGACCATACTTGAAGACTAACACGGCAAGGAACATGAAGCCACCACTCAGTACACCTCACTAATGCAACTGCAGAAAGCTCTCTGTGCATATAAGCAACATTAAAAGTGACTGCACAAATGTATGTTTGTGTGTAAATTTATATTCAGTGCTTCTTCACCACAAAAAAGAAAATTAAAAAAATCTGTATTGTTTATTGACATATACATTTGGTTTCAAGGGGATCACCAGAGAAGCCTACAGGCACTACAAAGCAGAACTTTGTAACCACCATGCTCTCAGACACATCAGACTTGTACTACCTGAAACAAATACTGGTCAAAATGGAGATAATGTTTAGGCATTTGCTTTAAAGTGTAGCATCCTTTCCACCTGCCAGTGTAGGCCACAGAAGATACACTCTAGTTAGCATATTGCTGACAGGATGATGAGAAAGCTCCTGTCAGACACTGGCCAGCCGGGTGTTTGAGACAAAACGCACAGCCCCAGCTGACTAGTTAGAGAAAGACTGGTGAGGTACAATTACAGAGGCATATGACAAGCTTTCATGCTTGAATGACTTGAGAACCGATGACATGGCTTTAAACAGCAATCCTTCCTACCTCCGGTCACAAAACAGCAATAAGTCAACTGATGCACTGTTGTACAGTCATGATTTATTCCTTTGCTTTGAATACATGAGAGTGTGATATGATGTTCTGGTAGACTACCACAGCAGGTGCACTTGGGGCTAAAACATCTAGGGCCTGCCTCCAGCATGCATAAAATCAATGCCATAGTTCAGCCTTCCTGGAAAAGCCATCCCCAGCACTTCAATAATTTATAGGAAGACTGAATTAAAAAAATTATTTGCACTGAAACTCATACAGCTCTATGCAACGAATAATAACACATGCAGATGCATCAACGTGTGAGGAAACAGTGCTGTGCAAGAACATACAGAATAACATTTAGGAAAGGTCTTCCTTTTACAGCTAAAGCGAAACAACAGCCACCTCTGTGAATAGATCAATTCCTTTGTTTCATTCATCCTTTCACTTAATCCAAAGCCATATAATTTGTTTTCTCTTTCATAGTTTGCTGTTCAAAAGCCAGAAATGGTAATTTTTGCTAGAAACATCTTACAGAGCATAATCCTTCAGGCTAGCTGAATCCATCTCACTCTAAGCCTGAAGTAAGCTGTGAGGTTGCTGATAATCACATTATTAAAGTGGTTGGAAAGTCAAGCTAATAAAAGAATCAACAGTTAGGGGAAATAATGACCCAGAAGCTATGACAGAAAGAAGTGGTGGGAAGTTTCCGCTTACATCTTCATAGGAATTCGCAGGGCAAATAGACAAAGATCTCCACCAAAGAACTTAAAGGGGTAAAACCACAGCAAATCAATTTAAAGAAAGATGCAAAGAATACCTAATAATTGTAAAAATCAGAAGATTAACATAAAACAAGTCCTGCTTGGCTGAAATAAAATAAGCTGACAATTGAAACACACCCCTTTTATTCCTCCCCCCATTAAAAAACTCTATTCAACAGCTTAAAATAGGCAACCCTCTTTCCTCTTCCTCTTTTTTCCTCCAATGCAAGCCTTGACTACAATGAAAGCATGAAATTTAGAGGGTAAAAATGCTAGACAAAGAATTCCTGTACACAAGCAAGTGTAGTTATCCTTTCCTGACCCCCCCTCAAGAAGGGTGAGGAGAAAGTGAGCCAGGCCTTGAATTATGCCTTTTGTTATCAGTCACTGCCCTGAGATAGTGAACCGAAACAGAGCTGATAACTTGAAGGTGACATCACAACCCAGTCTTCATGAACTGACATACACACTTGATATTCAGTTAACCCGAAAGATAAGGAACAACTCCCTTAACAGAAAGTTGCACTTGATAGCACTATTTTTGAACAAATGATCTTTTCAGGTATCAAGCTGTAATTTAGGAATATTAAAACATGACCTCTGCAACAAAAAGTACCAATCTGCTGTGTTTTGTACACAACAGTAAGCACAATGCTAGCAAATGCTAATGTCCAAATACACTCCATTTGCTTATTTGTATTATATTAAGCGATCCAACATTTTAAAGAAGCAGTATCTTATGCCAAAAACATTTAATCATTCCTGGCAAGTCAATTAAATTCTTACAGGAGATACTGAGAAGCGTTTAATTTACTTTAAAAACTACGCTGCCCTGTAAAGAAGCAAACCTCACTGCATCAGTCCTGTTCTGTTTATGAAAGAGATTAGCAGGTAGCAGCTGTCCCTTAAGTTCCTGATAAGCCAAAGTCTATTTTTCTCTTTTATCAGAACTCACTAGTGCAAGTGAAAATTAACCCAGTCCTATATCAAATGTGGATCAGACATGATGTGGCAGTAATTTCATTTAGCTATGACTTAAGTAACACTAGTAGACTGAAGAAATAATCAGAAGTAAAATTGATGTGCTGTCTCTTCTTGGACTTGACCTGCAATCTACAATTTACATTCACAACTTGAGACATTCTTCAGGACATCAAAATGCCATTACTAATGTTTGCTATTGTTACCTATCATTGAATATAAATTTTGAATATAAATTTTCAAGTGAAAACACCATCAAAATTACTACTTCATTAAAAGTTTGAAATAAACAGCTGAATTCTGAACAAAGCTAAAGCTTCTCACAACCAACATATTCTATTTATTGTTCTGTAATGACTTCCAAAGCGTTTGGAATACAGACAAAGAAATAAGGCAGTCTGGATCAGTGCAGTATAATCCTGATACCTCCTCTTCTCATCATATAATAGCAACTGAGAGCTGAGATGTCCAGGCTAACAGAAACAAGTTTTAAGAGGATCTACACGCAGCCCAAGAGTACCCTTCCAAATCATGTTAAGCAGACACACTCCTGCCCACTTGCAGAATAAATCTTCCACAGGCAAAGCTGCCATTGTGATTCCTATTGCCACTCTACTAAAGAAGTAAAAGACTAGGGCCAGGTTGCAACACTCAATTCTTCCCCTAGCTATTTTGGGGTTGGTGGAGGTGCAGATAAAATGTGGACATTTCTTAAGGTAAAATAAAATGTTTGGTGGTTAAAATAATATATCAAAGACTGGTAATTTGAAGATCATTCATTCACTATTTTTCTGGTTTACAGTTGCTCACGTGGCCTCTGCTTATATGACCCCCTATTTCTTTTACTCCCCAAAAAGGAAAATAGTTATTGTTACTACCACCAAGAACTGTAAAACCTGTCAGCCCTGTAAGGCTATTCTGAGTCTTCTCCAGTTTACCTTTGACTTAAAATAACTTAAAGGTGGTTTATCCACTAGTTAGAATCTGAAGTAACTCACTCCCTGCATGTTCATGTATGTACTGGAAATCAGCACCTGCAAGTCTTTGAAAAAGATTAACTTTCAATACTATACCCAATGTGTTTAAAACAGCTGTTCATTTTATTTAGTAGTACAAGTAACAGTGCTCAGGAACATAATGTTGATTTTCCACCACAGAAAACATATAAAAATTATTTTATGCAGTAGTGTTCAAAAAAAATAAAGGTATTTTTAATGACTGTGCTTAACAGGCTAAACATTATGCATAAAAAATATATTCTACGTGAAAGTTCTTTATAAAATGACAGTTTTACAGTAATGCAAAATTAATCTTGGGAATATTTTCAAAATAGAGAATATTTTAAAAACCAGTAAGAGTCTGTGAAGACTAAAACAAAATAATATCTGAATATTTAGGCATACTTCCAAAATGAAACTCAACATTCTTTTATTAAGCAGTCTAATAAAGCAGGAAAAAAAATTAAAATTAATGTAGCCTAAAAACCTTTAATAAAAAATGCTATTTTGAGTTGTACATTATTATCAGTCTGAAGAGCTGCTCCAAATCAGAGATATTACAGTATGCACTCCCAAACCACTCTAAGAAAGATGAATCTATCTATTACCAGGTTAAGAAAGCTGCTATTATTAGGGACCCTTGATTTCTTTCAAGTAGCTCCAATGGCATAAGACACAAGTGAATAATAAAGATCTTATAATAGCCCTTAAGAATTCTTTTTAGGTTAGGAGGCACAGAAATGAACTCAGGAGAGTTAAAGAACTCTCATCTCCTGATAAGAAAAAATAATTAACCTGACTTAATGTATCTGAATAGTTCTTACATAAATCAGACTTTTGTACTTCAAGAGCCAGACTAAAACCATATATCAGAAGAGTATGTAGATATTGTCTTATAAGTACACATGGAAAATATCTAAAACCACAAAGGTCTGCAGGTCGTTTTGTGAAATGTTCAATATATTCCACTTAAAAGGAGATGTGTGAAGTACTTACAGTGCTTAGTTTGCTAGAGGTAATAATGATTCGTCTCTCATGCAACATACTGGCATAAAGTTGCAGCATGTTGTTCACATCCACAGCAACAAAATATTCAGTGAGGTTTCTCTGTTTAAATAAATAAGATGTTAACAATACAGCAACAACAGTAGCTAAGTGAAACATTAAATATATTACTTAAAAAAAAAATAAATCTGTCCAATTAGTAGGTGGGGAAAAAACCCACCCAAATTATGAAAGAAATCCCTCTGCATTAAATTTTGCATGCTTTAAGGATAATTAAGTTTTAAAGCCAATGAAAATCTAATTTGGTATAAGTTATTCATATTTTGCTCATTGTTATGTTTATGAATTTAGACTTGTCCCCCCCTTTTTTTCCCCCAAAAATTTTGAAAAATATGACATTTGGCATTATACCCATAGCACCATATGCTAATTAAAGTAACCATTACTCCCAACCCAAAAACAGATCTTCCACCACTGCAATAACTGTTCTATCATAGCTACAACAATAAAACTGTGCTATTTTGCCAGGCTCTTCCAAAGTCAACACATTTTATTTTACTTCAAGTACAGCAAAACAGCTGACTGAAAAAAACTGTTTTCACTTGAGCTGTATGGACCAGACATCAAATGTCCAGCTGCATGGGCAGAAGGTACTGGGTCGGTCCTGCAGCCACACTTTTCACTCCTAAAAAGAACCCCACTGCCATCCACACTGTGGGGCTGAATGAAAAGCAAACTCACCAGCACCTCTTATTCATAGTTTAGGCCACTCAAAACGGGGGGGAAGAGAAAGAGGTTGGGGGAAAAAGATCTCTTTTAAGCTTAAGAGTACTTAAAAGAAAGATCTCTGAACTTAAGAGTATTTCTGCATGGCACAGTGCAGAGACATGCAATAAGCTTCTGAATAAGCTAAAATAGCTACCAGCAAAAATGCCTAGGACAACAGCAAATTTTTGGAAATGCTAGACAATACATACGAAAATATACTAATACACCTCATAATATACAGAGCATCCTATTTCACACATTCATTATCGTATCTGCAACCAGAACTCTTACTCATCTCAGGAAAAACAAATTATGAATATTAATGTAGGAGGTCTACTAACCGTGCTCCAACCCAAAGATAGCGACCAGAACACTGGAACTGTTAGGGTATTCTGGATGTGGCCAACAGCTGGCTGCAAGGCAATGCAACCCTGAAACAAACTGATGGCAAGACAAGTGGTAAAGGCTTTAGGGCAGGGTGACCCTGCTGACTGTTGGCACCTCTCCTATCGGGGCGAGGACACAGCTGCCGGCTACAGGCTCTCCAGCTCACAGCTCTCCACTATCACAGAGCGCAGCATGGGGCAGAGCTACCTATCACCACCTGCTGGTTTATCTCCTTACAGACTCCACTATATGAAATGTTAGCTTGGATAATTATCAGAAGATTGACCTCCTTTTTGGATATACTGCGATATTAAATTTAAAAATATATTGAAAAGACAAAAGAAGATCCAACGGACGATCCAGTTTCATGCAAATTCAGAAATGTATTATTAATTCAAAGGCACAGAGCACAGATTATAGTTGGTCCATGCTGCATAAAGTTTCAGAAGTTATAAAAACAAGAGCTTTAAGGATACAAACACTCTACTGAGACTGAAACTTTGGTTTTTCGTGTGCTACTTTTAACTGGTTGTCAGAGGCCAATCCACCTTGATAACTGGAGTCCAATTTACCTCAGATACCTTCTAACACTATAGATGATAATGGTAAACTGATTCTGCTTTGCAAAAGCTGTTGTAAAAAGTCTGCAATTTCGCACAGACCAGTGGATCTTTGGGAGACAGTCACAGTTATTCTGTATTACACCTGAAAAGTTACTGCTCCTGAAAGATGTTGATCTTGGAGCAAAGAATAAGGAAACTCATTTTATTGCTAATTTATTGTAATTACCTCGTGTCTTCACTCCCTGCATGTTCTAACTCTCCATTAGTATCACATTATCTTGACTCAGAATTATAGAAAGGCACCTTGAAAATTACTTTTCCTTTCTCCCACAGAATAAATCCAAAGTGCTACTACCACAAGATCTTCCACCAGTCAGAAGCTAAATGATGCTTTGCCACATTTTCAAGTTGAACGCATAACACACCTTTGAACCTCCAAAACTATGCTTTATTAGAATCCCAAATAGTAAGCTAGAACAGAGAATTCTTTAAAATAAGGAATTCAGCCCGTAAGATGAAACAGATCATAGAATCATAGAATGGTTTAAGTTTGGAAGGACCTTAAAGATCATCTGGTTCCAAACCCCCTGTCATGGGTAGGGACACCTTTCATTGACCAAGTTGCTCAAAGCCCCAGCCAAACATTTAAAAACTAGAGTCTGTCCTGCCCAAACAGCCTTTGTAGCAACAGTTCTCTCTTTTACTCCTCTACCCAGTAACTTTGCATAGCTCAGGGTTACAACAAGGGCTGCACCTTGTGCAGAATCCTTTCCACCATCACAGATGCACCCAGAGACCTTCCCTCTGCTATAAGCACCCTACCAATCCTTACCAGCCCAAGTTTCCTGGGCTCTGTTTCCTTCCCCTTTTCTCTTCCCCCTGCAGTGCAGGGGCCACCGCCCAGCTGAGATGCTGAGGGACACAACCTCCCTTCTCACCTGCAGCATGGAGGCAGGGAGCGGATGACTGGGACCTCTTCCCCACCATGCCCCACTGCTGCACCAACGCAGAGGCTGTGAGCACACTTCCATCACACCTCCTGCACTAACACCACATCTACCAAGAGCGAGTTCTGCAGTACTGAGTGATTTTGTACTGGGGTGAACCCCCAAAACAGCTCAACTTGCATAAGGAAGTTGTTATTTGAAAGTGTAAAAATGCACAACTATATATCCTTACATCCATATTCAATTCCAGACTTAAATGCAAGAGTGGAAAGCAGAAAGTTTCAAAGCTCCTTATTAGCTGTTATCCAGATAAACACATCATAGAGAATGTGATCTGAGATTTCATGTTTGCAACCTACCCCCAGCACCATCAAGGATGTAGCATCTACAGAATGCATGTCTTGATAAAAAAAATAATAACCACCACCAGCATTGCTGGTGCATGGTTACCATCCAAATGTAAGCAGGTATGATATGTTTTCAGAAAGCCTGAAACAATGCCTTCTTGCACAAAAAAAATAACTGCATATCTTGATAGCTGAATTTGCAGCTTAGCAACGCAGCGTTTAAAGGGCAGGTATTCAAATAATACGAGGTGCAGAAGTAGAATATATTTTACATAAATAATCTCAATAAATGCAAACAAGCCGAGTAATCATGAACAAAGGGTGACTACAGCAGTGGGCAAAAATGCCCTGTTAATGCTTTAAAACAGGTTAATGATGAATGCAACAGTAACTACAAGCTAAAGGTTGTAATAATAGACATCAATCACACTCTAAAAACAGTCTTGGGAAAAAAATCTCTTATTGATAATAAAAAAAAAAAAAAGCCGAGTTCAGCCCTACCCACAGAATTAGGTTGGTACTTCTAAATAAATAAGAAACTGCATACTTACGCTTTCAGGGATTGTTGGCAATCCAGTTATATCAGGAGTAATGAAATACGAGTGCTAATCAATGGGGAAAAGGAATTAATAATGTATGCACACAAAAGCAAAAAATTCATTTTTAAAAAATCCACCCTTTAGGATTGCCACCCCCATCTTTGTTTAGGCAAAAAGCCATTTTTCCAATAGCATTCCTACCACTACTAGACAAAGAATTAAGCAGATCACTACACAAAATGACAAGCTCTGGTTTAGCACAGCACACAAACCAAGAGAATAAAACACTGGCTGCAGTTTTGAAATAACACCAAAATTAACCCAGGTTTAAATGTTGTCACAAGCCTGAGAGCAGCACTGATTAACTTAGGCATTGATTTAAATATTGGAACAGAAACAAACCAAAAACGTGAAAGGACAAAATGTGAATTTAGAATGGAAAAGGAAAAATCATTCACATGAGAAAATTAATTAGCATAGAAATATTATTACTTGATATACATTCTCTTTTCTTTCCAAAAATCTTTGATTCAAAAACGTGCTAACAGAAATACAAGGTCTGACAGCTTGAGATTCTGCAGTCATTTATGAAATACATTAGCAATTTTATGCGTCTTAGTTTGAGGCCATCTAGGATGTAAATATAAAATGGATTAAACTAAAAACAGATGTAACTTAAATTATTCTCATTAATCCAGTGTGCTTAGTAGCTATCAGACATGGAATTAGCTCAGTTATTTTAAGGCATTTTTGTATATTAGTCTAAATCTTCAAGGTCAGAAAAACTTAAGTGCGTACTAAGCAAATGCGATTATTGACTTTTTAGCTTTTATTTGTTTTGAATGGAATTTTGACATTTTTCATAGACTTTTCTTTGGGTTTATAGTGTATTTTAAAACTATAATTAACAACACAAAGACACAGTTTGTTTTCAAGTCAAACTTGCAAAAGATATACCAAAACATTAAGGAAGTCTATAAGATACTAAATGTGTCTTGGTTTGAGAAAAAAAAATATCAATACTATTAACTCTGTTTAGGAGACTTATTAAACCAGCTTGATATATTTAATAGAAAATGATCCCCACAAATTAGGTCATTTGGTCATAGTTAAAAATTTTAAGGGGGAAAAAAAGGCTTAAAAAAGGCATCCTATAAACATCATAGCACTTGCACAATAAATACCCCAGGTTATTGTTTTGCAACAACAGAGGGAAAAAAATGCTAAGGTTTTTTTGCTCTAGTCAAGAATAGGAAAATATTCAGAATAATGGAATGCCTATGTTCTTCAGAAGTATATTGAGAATAGAAAATTATTTCCTATATGTAATAAGGTCACAGAATATTTATCGAAAAATTTCTGAGTAATGACATTAATAACTTAGAGAAGTTATTATTTATAATTAACAAAGTAATAATATTTCACTCATTAAACAGAAAAGGAAGTCAGAACTATGAGACCCATTACTGCAGTCATTGAGAGTCATAAAGCAGCAAAAATAAAGTAGTATGGAGTCCTTGTACATCTTTGTGAACTCCCTTAGGAAGTCGTACAACCTTGGAAGAGATACTAAATTAATAGTTGCTGTCCTGTATAAAGTTTTCTCTAAAAGAACACTAGAAAATGAAAGCTTTTGTTCATCAATTTAAAAGTTTGATTTTGGTTGTGCTCTTTGCAAAAGAATTATGACACACAGACAGCTCTTTAGGTTAGATTGATTTAAACAGATTAGATACATTGATATTAGACTGCTCTTTTAGGCTAAAGACAGCAGCAGGATTTCCTGAAGGACAGATACAAATAAGCCTGAAATCAAAAGAGAGATCCTATAGCAAGCAAATATTTCTTTAATTACAATAGACTTTAGATAGTTACTGCCTTTTAACTCACCAATACAAGACAAGGATGTTTTTTCAAATCTTGCTCACTTGCAAAAATCATCTCTTGGTTCTTATGCAAGATGAGAGAAAGATTGAACAATTGACTTTGTAGTTTTCCAACAAAAAGACCAAAGCTGACTCTAATGCTTTCAATATTCCAAGTTTAAAATATCAGCTGAAATATGTTTTATTCTTTGTATTCTTTCCCTATTTGAATTAGCTTTTCCAACATAGAAAAATGTGGAGGGGGAGGGAAGGGAGATAATAACTTTTATTATAATCATAGAGGTACGATCACCTTTATTATACCTCTATGGTTAAAATAAAAGTGACCCAAACTATATCTAAGCTCAGGTTGCATAGAATGAATGCTCACCCCTCAAATTTCAGCTGCAAATATTTGTTACAGGGACTGATAGGTCAGAGAAGAGCTTAGTTCCTAGCTGGACTAAGGGATTTCGCTGTCCTCCTGACCAAGGTATACTGGGAAACACCATGTATCCAGATATTGGGCACAATTTATGCATAATTATATACATGCAGTCCTCAGTACCACTGTAGTCTGCCATCTGAACCTCACTTCAACACCTACAAGCCCTGCAGCTACCTGAGTAAATGTGAGGGGAGATCTTAATTTTGCATCAGGAACTTTGAATTAGACTCATCTTAGCACAATCAAAAGCCACGTCATGATGATACTTTTACAACTATTTTTCAGACTCTTCTTTTTAAGCCTATTACTACTGATGGTTCCAGTACAGCTTATTTACAATAAACAAAGAGCATGGAAGGAACACCAATATAAAAGACTAGGCACACAAAGTTAGAACTGAAAGTGACACAGATCTTTCCTGCAGCACGGGGCATTACAAAAGTAGGTGTCTGTAGATCCTGATCTTTAGCACTCTGATTTAGGCTAATCTATTTCTTCCTGCTCTGTCCCACCTGAACCCACAGTATTTGCTAGACTGTACCTGCAGCCAAACATTTCTCAATTTTATATTATAGCCTAATGAAAAAAAAAATCATAACAAGGAATGTGAAATATGACAAAATAAAATAAAATAAGGTAGCAGTATGCTAAGCAGCAAGGTAACTACTGGAACACAAGTGGTAGACTCTCCATTTCTGTATGCCTTCATACTGGGACCATATGCTTTTCTGGAGTCTGCACCTACTTTACTTGAAGTATTGGGCTCAATTCTAAAATAAATGAATTAAAAGTAATAGGAAATGACACAAACCAGGTCAAGATAAATAATCTAAAGATCTTTCAGTATGTGCATAAGGGAAGCCTTTATAAAGTCACTTCTTTCTGTGACCTGCAAACTCTAATAGTTCAATCAAGAAACAGTTATTTGCATATAGATATTTATGAGTGCAGTAACTGTACAGATGCTTTGAACATGAATAACTTGGAGACAGCAGAGGCTCTGTGTTGGCTTAACATTTCATGGAGGCACTACAAATGTATTTAAACATGTACCCACATGCTATTTCTGTTAAGAACTTAAGGAACTGTATCACGGACAGGCCCACTTTTTGATGTTTGTGCAGCAATGCCACTTCACCAATCTATGTCCAGTCCCACACCATGAAAAGTCAAAGCACAGAAGCAAAGTAGACATGGGTATGTTCTTTCACCTAGATGTGCTGAAAGTTTCAAGTAATACAGAACAATTCTCCTACCATCATTCCTACAGAACTTTTGCATGAACAAGCAATACTAGGAAGAAAGGGAAGGATGATGGGAAAGAACCTTACACAGAATTTTGTCCAGTCCTGCAAGTCTACCTACTCAGACTTGAGAAGCAATAAAACACGAGTTAGTGTCTCCTGATTCACAGCAGGAGAAACCAAAAGTATCTACACGAAACAGCTGGAAGCACAAAAAAAAGTTGTTTTAGCACTGCTAGATGCCACTGCAGCTTACTTTATCATCCATAGAGAAAACTCCCAATTTCTGCTTCTTTATGACTATGACTTTAAGGGAACAGCAACAGAGACAAACTCTACTCTGCGCAGACAAAAAGAAAAAGGTTGGCCAAGCCACTTAATGATGGGAAGTAACACAAGTTTACTCTTTACAAAGGTAATTCATGGGGCTTTTTGTTTGTTTCAACCTTACATACTGTTTTATAGTCTGGAGTAGGAGTTAAACAGAGAATACTTACCACACTTAAACTGACTAAAGCATTCGCCTTTGGCACAGGATGGCTATACAATGATTTCAACAAATCATTTGAGTCATTTTCCTATAGGGAATGTATTTAAAGGTAGTTAATTATTGTATTAAAAGAAACCAGACACATTAAACTATATATTGACATATATATGTATGGTTAATGAGAAAGACAATTGTAATTTACAGTGAAGTATTTAAATATTAAGCATAAAATTCAAGCCCATTTTCTGTCTCAGAAAATGATTGTATCTGCAAATCAACCTTTTACATATTTCCCCATATACCCCTTAAATGAATCCCATCATTTGCAACTGAAGATAGTGTTAATCACCCCTTAAAAATGATTTATCAGAGCACATGAAACAGTTAATAAGGTTTACTAAAAAGTACATGCAGCTACTGGATTTAACTAGGATCCCCGACCTTAATTTAGGATTTTCATTCAGTTTTGGGTTTTTGTTCATGAAGGTTCAATTCTTTTTGTTGTCAGGGGAAAAAAACAAGAACACCAGTGAGAAGCCAGGACCAGTGTTTAAACATATTGTCTGAGGTTGCAGGAAGCTTCCACCTCTCCCTGTAAGACTGATAATACTGGATCTCTTACTAGTAAACAAGACTTTGGGTCTGGCTCTTGCTCATACAACAGTACCTGGGCCAGAAGGGAGCAATGTCCTCTAACAGGCTCCTCACAGATACGGCACTGGGCAATGCAACAAAATACTTCCATACACGGCTAAAAATTTCTGACCCATCAAACCAGTTTTCTCAGTATATAGGAACACAAACTTACAAGCCAGCAGTTTAATTTAGTTGCATTAACAGTTGCAATGCCAGAACCAGTGGTCAAGAAACAAGAAGACAATCCCTACCCCTTCTGTCAAATACAACCTTAATAACAATTTTTACTGTTACAGTGAAACTGGGACCGAAACCGAAGTCTCATTATACCACTTATAACACTTAAATGTATTCTGCACTTTAAACACAGCTAACCCCATATTTTTCTACTGCATTTTCTTTTTAGATAAAATACCATCATTTTCTATAGTCCATTTACTATAATGTACAATAATCGCTTAATCTACAGTTCATGTATTCCTGAAATGTCAACTTTTCCAGTCTGCAGCATATGGCTGACTATTGATGCGTTCTTTTAATTACAAACTAGTACACTAATACAGGTAAAGTGGAAAGGTATAGCTTTAATGTTCTCAGTAAAGGCAGATGCCAGTATTTCCTTTCCTGTGTAATCCTGGAATGCATTTAATTGCTCATGAATATGCAAACGAAACCATCATGATTCTTTACCAAATGCTGCAAGTAATTTTGTCTTGCTAGTTGATGATTGCTAGAGATGACAGAATTACAAGAGGTAGTTGTTAGTTAATAGGAAGGGTAAAACAGTACATCATATTGTAACTGATAATCAGATAGTTCCAAGGATCTACAGTTTACAATCAATATGTCGCACAGATCTCCAGTGATGTGACACTTTGCTCACACTGACGCTTTGTACAGGTATATTCTCAGCAGTTTTTTAGGATTAATGTGGGATTCAAGGGACAGTAGCAGCTGTATGTTCAGATTCATTGGATTTCAATATGAGGAATGTAAAAATGTGTAACTTTTAAACAGCTTAGAACCATTTCACAGCACTTCAAATGGTGACTACTATTTCCAGACAATTACTTTACAGAAAGAAACACAGTATCTAAAATTACCTGTTCTTTAGCCAAGTAATCTGCGAGGGTATTTAGGAGCTTGTAGTATACCTCAAACCATGGCAGGTAACTAAAACAGGAAGGAAAAAAGCAGTTTAGTAAAATATCAATGTATTTTTCCCAGTGCTTATAAAATGCTACTACAGTTAATTGACTTGCACATTTTTATAATACTTCTACACATAAATAAAACACATAAAGCTTTTCCTACACTTTTAATAATACATCACTGCTAGATAGCAGCAAAGCTATCTTTCTTTATTCCGGACACCTGCTTGAAGTTCCATTAGGCATAGATAAGCTCACAATACTTTCAATTCTCATTGTTTTAAAGGCATAAAAAAAATCATTCTAAACATTACAAAATCACATTCACATTATTTTTGTTACAATGTTCAGGAATGCTATTGGAAATTTTGAAATTCTATATCCTGTTGTACCTGGTGAACTGCAAGAACTACTGCTTCCCTGGAAAATGAAAACCAATTTTACCTGGGCAGACCAGGTACCCCGTATTTGATGAGTAGTGCAATGCTATGCAATAGTAGAGATGCCGTAAGAGATGTAAGAATATTGGTCACTCTATAAGGTCATTTCCACAGACAGAACAAAAATAAGAGAGCATTCATCCAATACTGTAAACACAGCGCGCATCAAGACATGGATACTTAGCAAGCTTTCAACACAGACTTGCAGCTCATATGTGTACAACACTCTCAATGAGTTAAAAAGAACAGAAGACAAATGAGACAGAACTGAAGAGCATGAGAAAAGAAACTCAAACACAGTGGCATCAGTTCCATTTTTTGTCATCTATTTACAGAAGGTACCTATAAAAGTGATATCATGAGTGACAACACGCTACAGAACTTTCTACAATTTCTATTTAAGCCTAACATGCATGTAGTAAGTCAGGTTAAGGTAAATGGTACCAGTATAAATTACTCCTTATTTACAAGTTATACACCTTGTCATATCTTTCAGAATTTCATCACAAAGAACACCACTGAAATGGTAATAGTATGGCTAATATTAGTTGCTTGAGTGGGGGCTCAGAAGGAGAAAAAGCCTGAAATATTTTTACCACATTTCACATCCAGTGTAACAATACTACACACTTTCTTATTCAGGGCAGTGTAAATCCATGGACACACTTCCCATGCACCTCTTAAAAGCTTTTGTGTGTGCTGTGGACAGAGCTTAAAATTTCAGATTTCTTTATTTCAGGAAACATGCTATCTGCAACTGAAATAGCCAGTATGCAGAACCTAAGCGCTTTTTCCTGACAGGCAAAGGAAACCTGCTGGGGGAAACCCTGGCTGGCAGAGAAACCAAGCCTAATTTTGTGCAGTGAGTCCAGTCAAGAGTTATGTTTTCTTTGTAACACTTCTGTTCTCAGTACACAGCTAGAAAGGCTTTAGAAAGAGATCACAGATTTGTTCAGCTAAGAAAGAGAACAGCAGAAATCTGAATATGGTCATAGTTATGTATTCCCTAGCAATCTTATTATGCTATCCTTATAAATGCTTAACTGCTGGTTCTTAAAAAAAAAAAAAAACAAAACCACACCAAAGAACCATCATTAATCTACTCTTGCAAAGCCAAAGAGCCACAGAGGCAATGATTTCTTTTAGAGTCGCTGCATTAATGCCTTTCTCACACTCTGCTGGCTATTCATCAAAATCACATCAACCTCTTAATGCTCACAGACATTTTTAAAGCTTGGTATTGTTGACAGTAGTTAAGGTGTGACATTATTGCATTTACTTTTCCATACATTCTTAGATAACCATAAAATTTACTTCACTGCACCTGTGAAAGGCCACTCACTGCTTCCAGGCATAAATGCTGCACGCCCCTGTAAGAGATCCATCATAACAGCACCTAAAATATCTAACCTTTGAGTTTCCTTCCACCTAGGACTCCTATTCTATCACCTTCTAAAACAATGTTAACGTGGTTACAAATGTTGCTGAAATGCCACAGAGATGGGCAAACAAAACTGTTCACCACAGCATGCAGAGTACCTGCAAATGCCAGAGCTACTGAACACTTACCAGCCCAGAACTACAGCAGGGACTGGAAGAGATAGTGATTCCATCCAAGTCAAGGGACCAGATAGTTATATATTACAATATTGTAACACTGGACACACAAATGGGTTAGATTATGTACAAGCTTTCCAGCCTTTTGCTATCACCTCTGCCTAGTAGTGTATGACACCCCAGCATATTTTGCTATAGAATATTCTAAAATCTTATCTGATCATTCATTTTTCATAAAGAACATTTATGAAAAACATTCTATAAAAATAAATGCTTCTACTTCAATAAAATATTAATAATATTTCTTTCTTGTATCCATGATCTCAACTCTCCTCGTAGCATGAAAAGAAAAACTGAATGCATTTTTTAAGTCTATGCATAAAAAGGTCAAATTCATTATCTGAAATTAATGAACCCTAGCAGAAAGCCAAGGGAGTGGGGGTTTTTCAGTACTGCAAGGCATGCTGACCAGAGGACTCATACATGAATTTCTTTCCTTAGCAAAATCAAGTTTTTGATACGCTTCCATGCAACAAAACCACAAAGAAAAACATTGTAAAACCAGACTACCTGAACAAAGTTTAAAAACGCCAGTTTCCTTTCTGAGCTAGAAGACTGGGAAAGGAATCGCTTTAAGCCTTACAATCACAGACACAAGTTTAATAGAATTTCAACATGCCTCTTAAACTGAAAAGAAGGGAAATCAAAACAAGCACTCCATTACATTATATGGCATGAAACCAAAGGCCACCAAGACCTGTCCTCTACTTCTTTTCCACATAATCTTCAGTTCTTCAAAAGCACAGTTTAATTGCAAAAGGTTTTGTTGATATTTTTAATAAGACTGTTCTACTGCAACAAAGTATTACAAAAATCTAATGGAAAGCAAAAAGGTTCCCATTACATTTTTCTTGTATGTATCTGATTGCTATTAGTTCAGTACAATAAGGAATTGTTACATTTGTTGTCTTCATAAACAGAGCCATCTGTATGTGTACATATACAACGCATCTCTGCATTCAAAGTAAATATAAACACAGGTTGCTTGTTCATAATAAAGACAGCTATCTGATGGTACATTAGATTCTCAATTCAAAGAGGAGGTATAAGCTCTTAATTTTGTAACATCCTCAAGGCTGCGAAGCAACATCTTTTTCCACTTATATCACAGGCTAATATTGTAGGCACAGGTGTTAATTATTTTATTAGTTTATTCAGACTACCCTAGTAAATAGATTTATTCATAAATGAACTTTTCCATGATACCGGCTTTACATCCTTATCCACACATTACAGTATCACAGTATCACAGTATGTTAGAGATTGGAAGGGACCTCAAAAGATCATCTAGTCCAATCCTGCTGCCGGAGCAGGAACACCTAGATAAGGTTACACAGGAACGTGTCCAGGCGGGTCTTGAATGTCTCCAAAGAAGGAGATTCCACAACCTCCCTGGGCAGCCTGTTCCAGTGTTCCGTCACCCTCACTGAGAAGAAGTTTCTTCTCAGGTTTAAGTGGAACCTCTTGTGTTCCAGTTTGTACCCATTGCCCTTTGTCCTTTCATTGTTTGCCACTGAGAAGAGCCTGGCTCCATCCTCGTGACACTCCCCCTTTATATATTTATATACACTAATAAGGTCACCCCTCAATCTCCTCTTCTCCAAACTATAGAGACCCAGCTCCCTCAGTCTTTCCTCATAAGGGAGATGCTCCACTCCCTTAATCATCTTAGTTGCCCTGCGCTGGACTCTCTCCAGCAGGTCCCTGTCCTTCTTGAACTGAGGGGCCCAGATCTGGACACAATATTCCAGATGAGGTCTCACCAGGGCAGAGTAGAGGGGAAGGAGGACCTCTCTCGACCTACTAACCACCCCCCTTCTAATACACCCCAGGATGCCATTGGCCTTCTTGGCCACAAGGGCACAGTGTCAGCTCATGGTCATCCTGTCGTCCACTAGGACCCCCAGGTCCCTCTCCCCTACACTGCTCTCTAACAGGTCGTTCCCCAATCTATACTGGAACCTGGGGTTGTTCCTGCCCAGATGCAGGACTCTACACTTTCCCTTGTTATATTTCATCACTGCAGTAGTATTTCATGATTATATTAGGTAAACACCGTATTTAGAATCATATAATCATTGAGGTTTGAAAAAGACCTTTAAGATCATTAAGTCCCAATCATTAACTTAGCACTGCCAAGCTCACCACTAAACCATGCCTCTAAGTGCCACATCTACATGTCTATTAAATACCGCCAGGGAATGGTGACTCCACCACGTCCCTGGGCAGCCTGTTCCAGTGCTTGACAACTCTTACAGTAACAAAATTTTTTCCTAATATCCAATCTAAGCCTCCCCTGGTGCATCAGGAGGCCATTTCCTCTTCTATCATTTGGCACTTGGGAAGAGACACCAACACTTACCTCACTACAACCTCCTTTCAGGTACTTGTAGAGTGTGATAAGGTCTCCCCTTGAGCCTCCTTTTCTCCAGGCTAAACACTACCAGTTTTCTCAACCACCATTCATAAGACTTGTCCTTTAGACCCTTCACCACCTTTGTTGTATTTCTCTGGACTCACTCCACCATCTCCATGCCTTTCTTGTAGTGAGGTGCCCAAAACTGAACACAGGATTCAAAGTGCAGCTTCACCAGTGCCAAGTACAAAGGGAAAATCATTCTTCTAGTCCTGCTGGTCACACGATTTCTGACACCAGCCAGGATGCTGCTGGCCTTTCTCAGCACACTACCAGCTCATATTCAGCCAGCTGTTGACAAGCACCCCCAGGTCCTTTTCCATCAGGCACCTTTCCAGCCACTCTTCCTCAGGTCTGTAGCATCCCATGGGGTTGCTGTGACTCAAGTGTAGGACCCAGCACTGAGCGTTGTTTGTCTTATATGGCACTTGTTTAACTAAAAACTAAAAGAATCTTCTAGGTCATCCTTCCAGCAAACCTTGCAAATTTATTTAAACTCTGCTTAGCACGTTTTATGTACACATTTAGTGGTGGATGTACCAATAAGTCATCCAGCACACAAATCTGTTAGGCTGGGTAACAAATCTTTCTCCAAGTCAGTACAGAAATGTGCTGTCTGCAAAAAATACTCTTGGAACAGCTGAATTTAACAGTTGAGACCTGTAATATTTTAGTCATCATTCAAAACTGTCACCCTAATACACCCCTTAACAGCAGATAAAATCAAAATTAAAGTCCATTACTAGAGAGACCTTACCATCGTCCTTGTATTCATATTTATGAGCAGTGCATTTTGTAATTAATTAGCTGTCTTACAAAAATGTCAAAAGGTTATCAATGAAGCCCCTTCACAGCAGATAAAACAGGAAAAACAAGGCTTTAATTCTCAATTTTAATGTATTTAGAAGCCTAAACTTCAAATAAAAATAATTTAGGTTCTTAAACTATGAAACCATTATTGGTTTCTTCTGTTTTTTTAATTGCGCACATTGTCTTTGCATTCCTTATGTGACTGTAAATAACTGTTTGAGAAACATACAAGACAAACATACAACCTCCAACAACATCCAGCAATTTCTCTAAAGTTGCCACAAAACATTTCTCCCATAATAAAGAGAAATGTCAAAAGATACACAATATTGTTTTAATAGATATGGATTTCTGAGTTAAGAATACAGTGCCCTTTATTTAAAAGCACAGCCACTGCCTGTCACAAAAGCAAGAGCCCAAGATATTTCATGGTTAATTAAAAATGTACTTAGCATTTTCTTTTAATCCAAATGAGCTACAAGGCAGGAGCTCAGACTTTTATTCAAAGTCATGCGTAAACCTTGTTGCCATAAGTAGACTTCCACCTCACTGGTGCTTCTACTATAGCTCTGATAAAACTTTTACATTCATAAGTCAAAGGTTAAATAAAGGAGAGGAAATGTTTTCTGTCAAATAGTCAGGTAACCACTAACAGTCCTGAACTACCAGCAGGAACCTAACTTCTAGTAATCAAATAAAACTAAGGAAACTGCCTTTCCGTAGCTAAATGTCTAATGTCTAGGGGCTACTTTTCTGCCTGGAAAATTGACACAAAATGTGTAAAATTGAAACATTCTGCTTCTAAGGGATTTGCCTAAAGGAAGAGTGAGAAACCTTCAAGCGTGGTCTGAACCGAAGAACTACAAAGGCTTACCACATAAACCTGTCTTCCTTATTAGAGCATTTCATTTGGAAATGTAGGTGACAATTTTACAGGCATAAAATTAATGAAATCTAAGACTGAGCATTTTAATGATGCATATTGTTCCTCTGGATACATCAGGTCAACTTCAGAGACCTTCAACAGTGTCAAGATTTTTAACAACATAAATTTCAGTTAAATTATTTGCACTTTGTACTAAAAAAAAAATGTTCAGATAATTAAAAACCTATTTCATGTAAGCCCAGAAAGTATTATTCCTACTGAAACAGCATAGATATTTAGAAATAATACCCAGAAGAATTAAATCTCCTATTATGCAAAAGCAAACACTGAAGTTTCTACTGTGCCACTTCAAATCTCACTGGCAAAGTTATAACTTAAAATATAAAAAGCAAAACTAGAAGAAAAGATCCAACATAGTGTATGAACACAACAAAGGTCTATTACAACATTCCTGTTGTGGTACCCCTCATTCTTACGGGCCTGCATTAGCTCAGCAGTTTGTGGAGAGGAAGGAGGTGACACAGCAGGATTCACACCAAGAGCTTCACAAAGCAGCCATGAAGTTTAAAGAAAAAAGAACAAAACAAAACTTGCAAAGGAATCACACAAAACTTGTGAAGAATAATCCAAGATTTATTTTCTCATCTTATTATGGTTTTGCTCTTACTGGCATTTTGAATTCGGCAGCTGCAGTCAAGCTCTGCATGATCATTCTAGACTGTACTCTATCACAATTAAGTTCTTCAGACAAAAGTGCCTGAGATAGCTACCTTGGGAGATTTTTATATCACTGTATAAACATACACTGAACTTGAACAAAACATTATGATCTGGCAGAAAATTCTGTTTAAAGAATTCATATACATGCGTATAGAAAAAGTGGAAAAAAACTAACAACATAAAACTTACAAAAGAATTTTACATGTACATTTTCTGTTTGAAACTATCCAGTTCAAAGCAGGATCATGTGGCTGCAAATTCAGAGATGATTAATTAGTGTTTCAGATGAAGAATATATTATAGAGGGAAGTCCCATAAACCACAAGACTAACCTTACAAGCAGCTTTAGTTTGTTGGTGTAAAACCTGAGGACAAGCAGCCTTTTCTTCAGGTTTTGGTTAAGAATCCCATTCAGCAGCTCAAACCTTATCTCTTTAGCAGCCTTGGCGCATAGGTTAACACATGCCCTGGCACCATCCAGAAAAGACATTCACAAGAAAAAAGTTGTGTCCTGTTCCCCACTCAACAACCTGTACAAATTTCTACAGTATTTCCTTCTCACCTTGGCCTGTTCCTGCTCTTCTTTTCAGAGATTCTTACTTATATTTTAGTTATTTATGACAATTTCAATTAGTTAATTTTCTGTAATTGATTTTAAAAAGACTATTGTCTTTGTTAAAGGCCCAGTCAGCAATCTTCATATATTCCTCCTGTTTGAGGCGATACACACATATATCCATATGTAGATGTGTCATTTGATATGGTATTTATGTATGCCTGCATTTGTATGTTTACATAAAAGCCTGTAACTATTGCATAATATATCTGTGACAAACAACTAGCTTGAATTGTTCATACATGAGAATCATTCTGTGCACATACAGTGATACAAATTTATGCTCTTTTCATATGTGGGAGAAAGTGAGTATGAACATCCATACACACTATATATAAAGACAACATTCATTTGTTAAGCTTTCTTTGATTTTGGTTAATTGCAAAAGGGAGAGCTAGATAAAATGCCAAAAGAAATCTGCTAATGAGTCTTCTTTCACTTGGTCACTTCTAATGAATCTTGGATTCAGTGCAGAAACCAGACTGGATACTAGAACATATCAGATGGAAATACACAACAATCACACAAACTGGAGAGAAGCAGCCTACCAAGTAGAAGCACAATGCGATGAAGCTGGTGCTCACATTCAGCTATGCATTGTAAATTTGACATTGTCACAATAAAAGAAATAAAGGCAATGCTTTGATTACAGTTCAGCAAAAATTATAGCTTGCCACTTTTCATTTTCCTAGTTATTTCTACCGAGTAACAGATCACTGCCTAATCTTTAGCTTATGTATGTCTGTGGGGAAATGCTGAAAGAAATACTCAAGTTTACACGAGCTGAGAATTTGCGTCCTTTGCTTTGCAGCACTACATGCAGTATTTAAATGTGCATATTTGACTGTGAGTAACTGATTAAACATTTGTTATTATAGCATTAGAAGTCAGCCAGCCAATGTTATGCACACAAGTAAAAAATACGGTTTCTGGCTTGGTGGGGGAGTAAAAGGTTAACTCGGAGAAGAGAGCTAAAAGCATATACACACATTCTTACTCTGGGCCTTAACAAGATATATCAACAGAAGGTATCACAAAGAGGTTAAGTATTATAACACTGCAAAATCCTAGGAATTAATCTTTCTGAAGTATTAAAGAATTATTTTCAAGATCTCAGAAAGCCAATTTAGAGCTTAAAATATTTTCCTTTTGCTATTTTTACTATATTTTTTGCTATATTTGTAGCAAATGCTTACTTTTACATTACTTGCCCAAAAACATCCAGTGTACTGGTCCTCAACCTTAGTTTGGAATTGTTTAAAAGCTCACAGACATCTTTGGGTGATATTTCCAATAATTTTGAGCACTACTCTACAAGTTTCTATATTGTTTGGGTTTCTTTCCCCCTCTGTGTGTTCTTTTACTGATATCAAAACATCAGCTTTTTTACAAGTTGATGTTGGGTTTGTCTCCCTAACTCATGACACCTTACATGACTGCCTGACTTCCATGGTGTCCAAATAACTGATAAGCTGCTTTTCTTCAAAAATCTTATATATTACTTTCTAAATTTCTCGAAGTTGCCCCTCTGCTGACAAAGTGTATGACTCTTTGGCAGCACACAGCTCTTCTTTCACTTTGTGTTTCGGGATTCTCACTATAAAAGCAATTAGACTGCAGCTGTCTTGTTCTCATGTGCTGTTGAGCTGGATGTTCCCATCTCCTCCAGGAGCATTACAGGTTACTAGGCTCTCAACTGAAGTTGCGAATTTACCTTTAAATTAATTCAATTAAAAGATGTTTATCTCAGCTAAACAACTGTATCTTATGGGAGAAGAAAGAAAACACAGATGAAGAAACAAGTTGTTTCACTGCAGTCAATTTCTCCATCATCGGTATCACATCTGCAACAAAGTGGCATGCTCTGAAACTGAGAATTATCTGGCTTTAGCATTTCTTATATTAGATATAGTCTGGCCAAAGAACACTGAAGAGACACCTAAAAATCATATTTCCAAGGACAGGAATACAGAATAGTGCACTCTATTTTTCAATTGACTGGATACTTTACAAAGATCTCATTAGAAGGTAAAAATATCCACATAACACTCCAAGCCTCTAAAAGCTGCAGTGTATTGTTCTCTGCTTTTAAGCAGAGATTTCACATTATTAAACAGAATATTTAGCCTCACACAAGAATTACCATCACCTGGTCCTTGGGACAACTTTTCATGTGAAATCAACGGTAACACTTACAGAAAAATGATACCCTGATAGAGAAGTGAAACACATTAGCAGAGAATTCTCTTTTTTTTTTTTTGTACTTGACATAATTTTTCTTACACTGACTTACCTTAGAATACAGAGGCAGACCTTGCCACCTGATGTCAAACGACAAAATCCAAACCGCTGTTTACTTTCAATGTCGGTGAGCACAAAGGTAAAATGCTGTCCTACTTGGTTTTGGGACACCCTGAAAAATTAGATAGAGAGCATAAAGCCACCATCATCACACAAAACATGAGCATTTAAGTCACTGGTTTCAAGCATTTTCATACTCCAGCCTCTCTATCCTTCTTTCCCTTTTCCCCAACCAGGCTACCCCTTGCATCCCACTCCTTCTTCCCCTTGGCACAAAAGAGGTCGGGCCCTTACTTTATCCATGCATTTAGCTTCCACTCCAGCCCCATGCTTCAGCTGACATGCCCCACAGCATCTGGCCCCTAGTCTGAATAGATAGGGCATTTCATAAGATCTTTTCTTAAGGAAAGCCTAAGTAGAGCTGGTACAAGCCTGCCACTGTCGGCTTTGTGCACACCTCAACAGTCAAAATTCCTAACCAAAAAAAGGTTTACAGTTCTACAAATAATGTCACAATACAGGCCTGGCTTAAGACAGACATCAGAAAACCTGCTTGCTTTTGTTTGTGGGCTGGTTTTCCCCCCCCCCCAGAATAGCTTCATTGCTTAAACTGGCAGCCTTCCCCACACACCTTTTTTGCACTACATGTTGCCCAACAAAGAACTTAAGTTCATTTTTTAGTGCAAACTTGTTTGGCTCTGGAAATGTAAAAGCCAGAAAATAATCAAGAACTAACAACACGAGAGCTAAAATAGTAAGTAGCATCTTCAAGACTGTAACAAAGCACATACCCACTTAAGACAGAGGAAGTTTACACAGAACTCCTATGCCTGACGTTTCAATTCCTCTTAACCCCAAGCTCTGCTCAGCCAGCATCCCCTCAGCAATGTAGGCTAATGCATTTTGTTCTCACTTCCTACCTCCCCTCCAGTGTCACCTCTGACTCTCTGTACTCATCTCCAGCTCCCAGTCCCAGCCTCCATTCCTGACCCCTCACTTTCTGCTTGACACCATGAAGCTTTTCCCAATTTCTCGTTAAGAAGAAATGACATCTTCACTGCCATGACACATTTCTTATCTCCCTTATGATCTCAAGCCAGGTACTCTTCTTGTGTAATCTGTCAGCTCCAGTCAGGGCATCCCGCTGGGATGGATCTGCTTTAAATGGGGCCAAACTTTCGTGATCTTCACAGAAGTTGCCAAATGCAGTCAATGCAAGCATTTTAGAACCACAACAAACTGTACCTGAAATTTACCCACAGAAATACATATTGCACTTATCCAAAATCTCCCAAAGAAAATCAGGTTTAGGTAGATGTGGCATTTTCAGCCAGGACAGATAATGCGTGGCATAGAATGAATCACAGAACGGTTTGTGTTGGAAGCGACCTTTAAAGGTTTTATTAAAACCAAATGAAAACAGTCATGATGGTCCACGTATGTAGATCTGAAAACATAAAATGTGGCAGTTCTGTCTGTAATTTTATTGTCCACTGTTCTTTTCCTATTTTTTCATGATCTTCTACAGCAGAATACCTAAGCACCTGCTAGTAAGGCTACGATTAACATGTGACATACGTGGCTGTCTTGGCTAACAAGCTGAAAATTAATTCTCAGAGAAGCTGAGAACCACCACGGATCTCACAGTCTTCTAATCTAAGAGCACAAAATACTCTTTTAATTTATACCCTGACCTATGGGTTGGGATTTCCTGTTGTGAGCTGTTTGTTTTGGGAGAGGCTTGGTTGTTGGTTTTCTTTTTAATCTCCAACAAAATAAAACAAAAATTTCCTCCTAGGAAAGAAGTGCCAGGTGATCAAAGGGCTAGAGAAGTTACATGGGACACATGCACGTCATACTGCTTAACACATGAATGACAAAAATGATTCATTAGAGTGATATCACTTGTAGAGTCTCCCACTCATTTCAGTTTAGTCTGGTCCATTGTGAACACACAGTGACTAGGCTGAAAAAAAGACAAGCCTATGCTGAGCACATATGACATTACAAGCTACATTAAGTCCAATATAATCACTGGAAACCCACTATAATTAATTGACTTTTTTTAGCTAGGTAATTAAACTCAGATCATTAAAACAAGAATTTTCCCCACTTGTCTTCAATAGACTGGAACAACCTAGTGCACTCTTCAAATACCGTAATAGCTCAATGGCTTTTATTCAGTCCTTCGTTTTTCAGGTTCTGCATAGCTAGCACGCTGCCTGTACATCATGCCTGATACAACAGACAGCCATCAATAACAGTGCGTTATTATTCCCCTGCCAATTCTGCAGTTTTCTATTTCACATCTTTCTTTGCATTTTCCTCTTTATTCCTGAGAGCAGATCGCCACTGGAACCTGAAGTATGGTTTCAGTATCTCAGTGCACACTGGAGCTAGGGGCTTACACAGTAATTCCACAGCAGCTGGTCAGGCTCAGTCAGTAGAACTGGTAATGCACCATGAAGAGACCCGGGCTGCCTCCCGCTGCCACTCCTCTCCGCTCTGCTGCATCCCACCATCACACCTGGGGCTTTCTGCAGCCAAAACTGGCTTTTTCTTACACCACAAAAGACCCGGCATGGTTAAGGCTGGGGTCTTCACATACCGCCTTAACCCAAAGAGATCACTGATAATTCACAAAAAGCAGTTGTTAACAGATGTCCATCTCTGCTGAAAAACAACTCCTTAGCCCAAAAAACACATCAGTAAGGATATCTTGCTTTCATTTATTTGCTTCCTTCCTTCCCAAAGCATGAAGATGACATGGAAAAATAACTGGTAATGCAATTCAAGCATACATAAACATGTCACTACACAAGACCCCTTTAAAAATTATATTTAAATTCTGTTATTCTGTATCAGAAATAGCCCAGCCCAATTCTGAGTTCCGCAGAATGATATTCCGATGCCATCTCACCACCTCCAGGCCAACATTCTCCCTTTGCTTCTTCGAAAGAGACAACTCCATTTTTCAACAGTCAGCATAAAAGTGTCCCAGCTTGAAAACTGCTTCCCACACAGTTTAGAAGGGGATGCAAGCAGCATATACCAGATCTTAGAAATGAGGAAAGCTCCAACACTACAACTGAATCTCCACAAAGAGCCCGAAAGTTTGTATTTGGTCCCATTTGTTTTAAAGGAACACCTAACAAGCCAGCAACCATCCATCCAGACCACAGATCAGATGTAAAATACTGAGTTAATTCTGGGTTTCTAATTTGAGAATGCCACTTAAGGTCTTGGGGCAGCAAGGACGCCTGGTTTTTTACTCCTCTCCAGCAGAATTTAAACTGACTATATGTCATGGCTTGACTTCGCAAACAAAGATTTGGAAAGGGCTTTACCCACGCTTACTACAAGCACGCTGATGGCTAAAAAGGCCAATGTGAGATAGGCAAATCCTTCTGCAAAAAGCACAGCGAAAGGTCTCCTTGGGTGGTATAGCTGGGGCGCAATTCTTTCTACATTTTCTTTTCTCCTCGAGACTAGTCCTGCGTGAGTTCTCAAAGGAATCAACGGCATTATGTATGGTGTGTCTCCCAAGTCTCCCGACTGGAGGCCAAGGTGGACCACTGATGGTAGTTAATATGGCCAAGGCTAAGGTATTGTCTCAGGGAGTATCTCTTCTTTGGGGCACCTCTCTTGCAGCTAACAGTGCATACAGTTCACCATAAAACACAATCTTAGGGAGGTGGTGATCCTTCATCCTAGAGATGTGCCCTGCCCAGCACAGATGCAGTTTCAGCAATATGGCCTCGATGCTGGTGACCCCTGCCTGTTCAAGGACAGTGACATTAGACACAGAGTCAGTCCAATGGATGTTTAGAACTGTATGGAGGCAGCGCTGATGAAAGCGTTCGAGGAGTCGCAGGTGATAGCGGTAGATGACCCATAATTCAGACCCATATAAAAGAGTAGACAGTACAATGGCTCTATAGACACTGATCTTTGTACTTTTCTTCAGGTGTTTATTGCACCAGACTCTTTTATGGAGTTTTTGGAAGGCTCTATATGCCTTTGCTATTCTGTTGTCTATGTCTTTGTCTATCATGGCATCTGAGGAAATAATGCTTCCAGATAGCTGAACTGCTGAACTGACTCAAGCTCTGACTCACTAATGGTAATGTGGGGATGATGGTAATCTTGTTGTGGTGCTGGTTGGTAGAGAACTTCTGACTTCTTCAAGCTGACTTCCAGCCAAAAAGCTCAGCTGCCTCCACAAAGCAAGATGCTAAACGCTGCAGAGCTGCTTCTGTGTGGGCAACAAGGGCGGCATCAATAGCAAAAAGCAGTTCACAGACAAGATGGTTTAGGGTCTTAGTGTGGGCCTTCAGTCGCCTTAGATTGAATAGGCTACCATCAGTACGATATCAAATATAAATGCCATTTTGTTCATAAAGTTCTACTGTAGCCCTTTGGAGCATCATGCTGAAGAAGATTGTGTATAAAGTTGGTGTGAGAACGCAACCTTGTTTCACACCATTGGTTATTGGGAAGGGCTCAGAGAGTGCATCGCCATATCTGACTTGGCCTTGCTGATCCTCATGTAACAGAATGATCATTTTGAGGAACTTGGGGGGACAATCTAATCGTTCCAAGATCAGCCACAGGCTTTTTCTGCTCACAGTATCAAAAGCTTTGGTGAGGTCAACAGAAGTTACATAGAGCCCCTTATTCTGCTCTCTATACTTTTCTTGCAGTTGCCTGAGAACAAATACCATGTCTGTGGGACTTCTATTAGCTCTGAAACCACACTGACTTCCAGGCATAAGTTCTTCTGTGATAGCAGGTACTAATCTGTTCAATAGTATTCTTGCAAGAATTTTTCCACCAACGGAGAGCAGAGTTATACCTCGGTAGCTTCAGCAGTCTGACTTTACACCTTTTTTCTTATACAGTGATGATGATTGCATCAGGAAAATCTGATGGTAATTTACCTTGTTCCCAACAGCGCACAACTAGTTCACAAAATTTAGCATGAAGTGCTTGGCCTCCATGCTTCCAGATTTCAGGTGGGACTCTGTCAACCCCAGCTGCCTTGCCAGTTTTCACCTGCTGTATGGCCTTAAGAGTCTCTTCCATGGTAGGGGCTAAATCCAATTCATTTTA